TATAGACCTGTATTAACAAAATAGAGCATTTAAATATATATTATACTTTAACACTATCTGACTACAATATTTGTCAAATTTCTAGTTTTGTTGAAGTAGAAATTTGTTGTTTTTCTTAAGTAAAGGAGAAACTATATATAAAAATGCATTTCCTATGCAACATGCTAATATAATAGCTTATTAACTTTGGGCATCTTCAGTATTACTCTTTTGTTCATTACATCTTTTTAAATGTTTGTAATATTTTGATCATTTAAAAAAATTTAAATTAATATTTTGACCATCTCAATAGTTAACATTCAAGCTACTAGTTAATATTTTATTTTCTCAAATAGTTCAGCCTAATAAGGGAATCGATTAATAATGGAGAGAAAGCAAAAGAACATATTCTTTAAGAATTTACCTATTACTTGGTTAGAATTTCTTCTTTGACATGATCTACATGTAGCCATGTAATAGTTCTTTCCTGTATTTATTTGATTAATGACATTTTTTTCAGCTATGATGGCCATGGTGTACCTGACACTGTGTACAATACAGCTGCTGTAATGTGCTTGATAGGGGAGCACGTGGATGTTGAATTTGTGTACTTGAGTACTTTGTGCATGCCTCCAAAAGTGTTCATGTCTCAATCTTGAGGAGAAAAGGCTATATTGCTGTGATGGCTGCACCAGTTTTTCATAACATCAAATTAGCTCTATCTTAAAGCTGTCCAAAATCTTCTGCTACATTGATGCATTGAGTTCAAAATAGAGAGTACTCTGCTTTATTGATATTTTGAATGACAGCTTCTTTCTTTACACTTTAATAATCTGATCAATGAATCTTTTGGTTGATTTGGTTTGCATTTGGCACAATCAGTCTCTGCTGATTTTTATCCACTACCAAAACTAGAATTTTTAACCTAACCCTTATTATCTGAGTGCAGTGAAAATACCAGGCCCAGCCAGCTAGCCTGTAAATCTAAGCCCTCATTCTTGTGGTTCTGAATGTCAACTTTAGTGACGTAAATTTATTTCCCTTAACTCTTTAATGCATGACTAACACCCATTTGTTGACTGTGGCTTTGATTTCTGTTTTCTCTTTGTCATTTTCTAATTAGCTGGCATGATTACCAACTGCCTTGATTCTCCTGACTTTTTCAATTATCTTCTTTTCAGAGATTTCCCAGCCTGCTTGCTGTGATGTACTAAAAGTTTAACTCTGCAGATGAAAATTTAAGCACTATCTGCTTAGCACAACAACTATTGTAACTCAGTAAATGAGTTAGAAAGAAAGAAAAAAAATGGATGTGGCCTGAATGGAAATGTTCTGCCAACCTTGAATATGTACAATAATCAAAAACTGGCATCTTGAAATTTATAAAGACACACTTGTTTTTTAAGTTCTTGTAATATGAACTTTCCTAAAGTATTTATTGTAATCGTATGCCTATTGTCAAACTAATAATTTTTATTATGGCCTGTTACCTACATAAAAGCTATTAAAATGATTAGTTTCTTAGAAATCGTAGTTATGAAAGTTTGTGGTCAATATTCACTATTAATATTTCTTACTATCATTGATTGGGTAATTATCTATTGCTATTTCTAACTGAATGACTACTTTCTGTTATTGACTATTACTCTCAATGATTGAGATTTTAGCTTTTCCAATTGGCCTTTATTTGATATTTATCAGTCAATTATTCTATTGATGATTTTAGCTATCTTTGATTGAATGGTCAATTCTTCTATTGAACATTAAGTTTTCCCCCGCTGATTAAGTTTCCTCTTTTGACCTTTATGGCCATTGCTATTGGATATAAATTTCCTTCACTGACCTTTCAAAATTCTTTGAGAGCTGGTTTAATGTAGATGATAATGTGTAAATATGCACCTAACAAATATGGTTTTATACAGTATTTGATAATTATGATGCCAATTTGTTTAAAAAAATTTTATTTAATTATAAATTTTATTACATTAATAATTTTTTGCATATTTTCACTCTGTTGAATTGAGAAAGATAGAATTTGATACTTGTGTAATTCAATTCCATATCTGATCTTGTAATTAGGTCAGAGTGAGTAGTGTGAATCATTAATAAACACTGATATAGTTGCTATGAATTGTTTTATCTCAGTCAGTTTAAACTATTCAATCACTACACATTCACTTATACTCATGCTATTTTTAGTAAACAAACAAAATGACATGAAATGATGGCAGATAAAAGGCAAATAATTAAATATTTAAATAATACAAATGAACAATAGCTTTCATTTAAAGCAAATTACTTCATGCTTTCTTTGTCAAGTGTCTTGTTGGTTACTAGTGATGATTTAAAACTACTTGACTTTCTATCCTAACACTACACTAATAGTGACAGCAGTATTTCTACTCTTACAACTGTTACTGGAGTAATTATAATGAATTACTTTATTTTTGATAATCAGTTTTTTATTATTTCAGCATTGTTAAAAAATTTCCAATGGCACAATTGAAAAATATGCAGACATTTTGCAATATTCTTCATTGTCTTATCTTCTAAAATGTGTTAGTGTTGTGTATGAATGTGAAAGAGCCAATCTGGTTATTTTTATCTGAATTTATTAATCCTTATTAATATAAAAAATTAAAAAATTATACCTATTTTCAAGTTTAAGTATTTTTAGAATGAATGAAAGCTAAAATAGAAATATTAAAAATGTATAAGATTAAACAAAGTGATTCCTCCTTAATTTACAGTGGTCTATTAAAGATTAATACTAGACTTATAATTATTTGATTTCATGTCATAAATGTAATTTTAACTGATTCAAATAATTGATTTGTTAATGATTTATAACATTCAACATTAAAGAAAAATAAAGTTAACATTATCAAGGGAGATAACTAATAACTTTTTATTTAAAATTACCATAATTTTTTCTTTTCACAAATTTTACCACACTGTTGACAATTATGAAATATGAAAAAGTTCTTTTGGAAGAAATGTTATGTTTGCATCTTTATTCTGTTTACTTATAAGAATGTAGTGTTGACAAGAGTGAGTTTCTTAATATTTGGTATGTTTTCTGGTCTTAGAACTCTTGACAGCATGCTTGCAGTTTTCATTTCTCTGTGGGTGAATAATTCAGTACACTATGAATTTATTTGCACAAAATGTGAAGTACACCACTATTGACAATGTACCAACAATGTACACAACACTAAATCAGTATTTTTTATTCATATAATGCATAATCACTTTATCTGCCATGCATGCAACCATCTTATCTTTGTTTTGATGGTAGTGGTGTGATAAATCCAGATTTAACGTTGCTTTGCTTTTTCCATTGAAGTCTAGAAATAGCTGCTAACAAACACAGTTGCTTTATCGTTTAAATACAACTTATGGTTAAATTGTATGTTACACTTAAAATAAGTTTGCATAAAAAATTGGATACTGTCATTTTTGGAAAAGTTTATCCTAAAGGAATATAAGGGAGGAACAAAAAAATTCTTTTTATATAAAGTTCAAACAAGATAATAATTAGATAATCATTGTTATGACTCCTAAATCCAGTAATCATTAAACAAAATGTTTAAATTAGATAATGGCATAAGAAATTTTTTTACCATATATTTTGAAAAAGAAATATTTATTAATTAAAATGTCTAGAATACATATTAAAAGTGTATTATTACATTTAATGCTAGAATAATCTGTTATTTCCATGTCATACTTTTAAGAACATAAATATTTATGAATGAAAATTTTAACTTTATAAATAGTAATTCTAAATAAAAAGAATTCTGGTGAGAGAAAATCCTTTTTCAGTGAAATAATACATTTGAAGTGTTCATGAGGCAATGTAAAATGATTTACAGCATAAAAAATCAGAAAAATAAAACGATGCACAGAAACGATTTTATCAAATCTAAATTTATCCAATTACCTATGGATAATGGGAATTTCCATCATTGCAGTTTGATGGTTCATTTACAAATGAGTTGACAGAAAAATTTCTTCCATAATAATGAATGGGTTAATTGGAAGGTAACATTAAAGTGAAAATGAACTGAGCTCAGGTAAATGGGGGTTGTAAACATGCTTGCATTTGTAGATGATGTATTACCAAATTGGATTACTTTTTTTTTTATGAAGGATATGTTGGGTGTATACTTACCTGAAAATAACAAGAGATTATACCAGTTGTTAATTTTACTGACTAGAGCATAATGTTGATATAAAAAATGAAAAAAAAAAAAAATAATACTTAATCTCTTTTTCACAGATTTTATTATTATGATATCTTTCATTAAAGAAGAACCATTTAAAGAACAAATGTCATGTATATTTTATATACATTATACATCTATATTGTTTATGTCTGATTAAAAATAAAAGAATCAATTTGTAATGATACACATTGTAAAACTTCAATTCTTTAATTTCTCTTGTAATTATCATTTCTAAAATTTTGCTAAAATAAAGGATTATTATTAAATCATGAGTTATACATTAAATACATTGTGCTAGTTATTCTTTTTATTCTCTAATTATATTAATCTATTTAGATCCAGTGTTTTTTTTTCTAACAAAGACTAACTAAAGCAACTGAATTGAGCAAAGGTGTTTGTGTTCAAATTTCTGCTTGTGAAAGCACAGGAGCTAGTCTTGGTCAGAGCATGTCTCTCTCAGCATGTATGAGCCATTAGTAAACATGGCATACCTTTGCAGAAAATAGCTGATAGTGCTATTTAGGCAATATAATTGTTGCATTGAACTAGTTTAAAGTAAGTGGTGCAGTTGGAACAGTGTTAACCAGAAACACTCTTTCCCATTTAGTCAGTGTTTTTTTAGTGAATATTTAGAAATCACGGTGCTTGCTGTTTGTTTCTTTGTAATTGCATCCCACTCCTTCACAGGTGATTGATGGTAATGGATCTGTATCAGCAAATGTTACGTTTTTCTTTTTGAAAGATCATACAAATGACTGGCTTTTACTCTAGTTGTTTTCTTCATTTTTTTAGTTTGAAAAAGCTCAAAATAAAGAACAGCTGGAATTAGCCACTGAAACTTTCCTGGAAAATTTACGTTCAAAGATCAACCCCAGAAATCTCAAGAAATTTGTTGAAGCCTTCATGAAGTAAGTTTCACAAATCATCTTAGGATTTCTTTTTGTATTCATTTCTGTCCATTAAATTATTGATCCATAATGCTTGGAAATAATTGACAGGCTTATCATTTTGTTTATTATTATGCAGTCTCAATTTTCAGTTTCATTCTCAAGTAAATAAAAGATGACCTCTACTTTGTATTAAATTATTTGGACAGCCACCTCAAATTCTATAAAAGCCAGCCTCTTATTGCATAAGTAGATGCCAGAGACCATATTTAGTTATAACTTTTTATTTAATGTTTAGTATGAATGTATCCAGCTTCATCTATTCTAAAAACTTGTTAAGGATGTAGTAAATTTTATTTTTTTTATAATCTAATGATAGACAACGCATTCTAAATTTACTAGAATGATTATTCTCTTGATTATTCTTGCCAAATAAATTAATAATTTTCAATTTTGATTTTATTGGGTCAATAACTCTGGTTATTGTTTCAGAAAGTTTAGCAGTGTTATTATTAAATGAGACAAATAAAATTGCTTATACTTACCAGTCAAGTCATCATAGCAGAAATAAATTATGTTTTGTTTTTTGCATTTTCCTAAGTATGTCTTTTGCAAACATTGATAATTTTTGTTTTAATTTTAACTTTCGATTTTTTATTTAAACAATTTTTTCAATTTCAGCCGAAATAGTCTTACTGAAAATATTGGTAAAGTTGCGTAAGTGAAATTCTTTGTTTCTCAATTTCCAAACCTGTTCTTTATGAAACAAAGTGATCAAGTTAATATAACATTAACCCTGAAGGGCTTTTGAAGTTGTTTCCTGTAATTATGAAGAAAACCTCAGCTCATATCCTAATTTTATGATTGCAATTATGTAATTTAGATATGATTTATTTTTATTAATTTACTGATGTACCAATAAATTTACAATACCATATTTCTATTTTGAGGTTATATCTTTCTTACAATTACATGGTCATTTTTTATGTCTGCAATTAACAAATATCATTAACTATGCTATTATAGATATTTATTTGCAATATAAGAGCTACTAATTGTATAGTAAATATCACACTATTAGATAAATTATAAATATTTCCAATAAAAGTAGATTGCAAGCTGAAATTCACATAGTATATCTTCATATATAAAATATATCCTGAAAATTTTAGTGGTATTGGATGGGTTTAGATTAGTTTTATTTACAATTTTTTACTGTATTAGTCCAAATTAATAAAAATGATGCATGTTAAAAATAGACAAATAAAATTATGAAGACTAACTTGTTTTCATAGGAACAGCAAAATTATCTGCTTCTATGAAAACATTCTAAAATTATAAAAAATTCAGATAATATATATTTGCTCTTTTGTCTTGGATAATGTTTTTTTTTATTACTTATCATATTTTTTGAGTTATTGGCTATACATAGAATAATTTGCTTGCAAAATAAACTTGTTTCATCTTTTACAGTTGCTCTTGCTTGATGGTGACTGGTTCCAAGGCCTCCTTCAACCATACTGTGCATACATTGTACCAGGCAATGATGAACAAAATTGGCAATAGGAAACTTTTAGATCTTCTTGAGATTGATGGTGTAGCCAATGTAGTGGCTGAAAGAGTAAATATTTTTCCCCATTTTTTTTTAACTAAATAAATTGATAGTCTATAACATTCGAAAGCCTTCATAATCATTTATTTAAATTTTTCATGATTTCTCTGTATATTTTTAAGCAGTAAATATTTTATAATTCAGTTAAAAGTTAAGACATTTGGATGTTAAATTAAGTTAATGTGTACATTTGTTGATAGTAATTTCTTACCTCATCTTTCCATTTATTTCCTCTTTCCTATAGCCTGAAGAATTGGCAGAGAGTTTTCTGTATATGATTCAAGGACTTGGTATGAGTAAGTCATCATATTTCTCAGCATTAAATTATTTTTCCTTTTTTTCCCCCATTATTTGTTTCTTCCAACTGTTTACTTTTGTTACTGACCTCGAATGTAGCCTATATCCTCTTGGTGTTAGTTTGAACTGATGTTCTCTTTTTGTTCCATATATTGTGACCCATTTACTTAAAATTCATACTTTTTTTTTTTTTTTTCAGATTAAAATGTAAATTTTGTAACATATTTCAGTGAAATTTTTGCATTCTAAAATTACAGTTTATAATTTAGATATATAAAGAAATATGGAGTCACTAAAGTGATGCCAGGAGGATATGGTTTAACACCTTAAAATCTAAACACTTGATTCTCAAGAATTTAATGTAAACAGAAAGGACTTTGCTAATTCTGTTGTCTTCTTAAGTGTCTAAAAATGTCTTCTTATATTATTTACTTGAAGTTGGATTGAAACCAATTCAGACATCTAAGAAAAAAATAGGTGTATATATTACTTGTTATCTATTAAATAATTTATTACAAATAGTAATGACATTTTACAAGTAGCATTTTTAATACTGTATTATATGACTAGCTTATATATAGCAGTATAAGGTTGTCATTGGTTCAGATTGTATAAAGCAGTTACTTACAGCTTCATCCAAGTAAAAAATTTCTTCTCTTTAACATCTTTTTCTACTTCAGTGGGTGCAGTTCCTATGCCCCGTGTCCAGCGTTCAGCCTCTCAAGATGGACCCATTCCTCTCCGTGGACGTAGTATGTCAATGGAAGAAGCTGACCAGCCTCGTGGCATTTATTCTACCAGTCCTCCTCGGGTTACAACTCATCACTAACTGTTGAGAAACTGACTCTACCCTGTCAGTGTTGCACTCAGTATTATAAACATAAAGCTGGTGTTCTGGGGAGTCTGGCTGGCTTCATCTGAACAACCAGTTGCTACTGTGGGACAGGCCAGATATATACAGGGACAACTTTGTCATCATAGTACACACTTGCACCAATCACATGAAAACTACCACTACATTTACTACTATTACTTCTATTAGTAATATTATTACTACTGCTATTACAATTACTACAATTCTGTGGGATCTCAGCTTGTGGATATTATTATTATTATTATTATTGAGACCACCTAATTTTGTTTATTGTTTAACAGGTGGTTGATGTTTGGCAATGTTATAACCTATGTTAAACTTTAAAGATAAAATATCCTTATATTGAATAACCTATATGCATTTATAACCAGAAGATAATATTTCTCTAAATAGTCCTATTTTCATTGTCAAAATCTACAGATTAACCGACAGGCAGCTGAAAAAAAACTGTCATATATTTTCCAAGTTTATTTATTATAAAAAACAATTTAAAAAAGTTTTTAACAACCAATCAACAACTAATCATAAATTAGTGTTTCATTCACTTCACAGGTCAGTGTTAGAATACTTTAACCTTCTTTTCTCATTAAATTCTAGCATCTAGGTAAGTAGATTAGCATTGGCCAACACCATTTAGAAACTTTTACTTATCTTTTAATTATTCCTTATCAATGAACTGATGTCTGTTTACAAAGGGTAACTTGGGGGTCAACATTTCTTTTTTTCTTGCCAATCTAGCTGCTGGTGCAACCCTACTGCACATGGTGAAGAATTTTTACAACTATTTGTTTTTAATTTTTATTAATAACGGTCGAGCTGCTTCAAGCACAATACTGCTACTGGGATATTGTTATGGCTATCTCTGCCAGATGGCCAACATTTTATTTTGTACAGTTTTATATGCCATTTTATACAGTTGAATCTATTAATGATGTTTTGATTACTGGTGTAGGTTCTGTCTCACTGCTGCATCCTGAGCTCTTGTTGATTATACCACTAAACTGATTACTGTAGCTATCTGCTTCACAGCTCTTACCACAGCAGCAAGCCAGACAGTTTTTTTAAGGGCACCAAACTATGTTAATATATTTGGAATCATTTGTTAGCCTTAACAAGTGTGCCTCTTTCATGTCTGTAAATATGGTGTGCAGGTTTTATAGTTTCACATTTAAGCTAAAATTTCCATGTGTATTCCTTGTCCATGTGACCAGCTATCATAGCAGCAGCAGCTAGAAATTGTACTGTACAATGTTACCCTACAACTCACATGACAATGTCAGCAACAACCATCTTCTGTAAAACATTAGCTTTCTCTCATGATTTCATTAACAGAATTCTATTTTCGACTTAAGATTTATATCTACAAAAATAAAAATATTTTATTGGAGATTGAACCTATTTGAATTTTGATATAAAATTTTGATCTACTAACTAAATTTAAAGAAGAAAACTAAAGTATTCATGCAACAAGGTTATATGCCAAAAAAAAAACACCTGCTGGGTTCCCACAGAATCTTAGTTAGTCAACAAGTGTCCATCCACCATTCCTGTCCCCATCCTTCACTATCCTGTTATATCAACAGTGAGTGCACACTCAATTTGCCGGACTCTCCTCTTTTCCTTCTTCATTTCCTTCTCTCAGATTACTAGGCTGATCAATACACTGTTGGCAGATTTTATTATACAAGTCAATGTTTTCACAATAAAATTGGGTTTAATCATCCAGTGTTGATAAAATGTTCAGGATAGACTTTTATATATATGTATAATATATCATGCAAGTTTCAGCATATAATATCTATCCTTATTAAAGATATTGATTATAACTTTTTTTATGGGTATCAAGTTTTATTATGCAAGGTGTACATCAATATTTATTCATAAATCCAAAAGATATTGTCCAGAGGAACATATTTGATTAACATAATATCATATAGAACTGAAGAAATGATTATTATTTTACATGTTAAGATGGGCACCTTCATATTCTATAATTATTGGCAATCTTTAAGTCATTGACTTTCATTTTATTAGCTGTTTTATTGTTTCAATTATTTACCATTACTGGCAAAAGTTTTTATTGCTTTCCTGATATCTTTGAATATTGTTTCCATTTTCATATACATCTTGTTTTAATGATTGGTCACATGTTTGCTATTGGAGAAGCTGGTTGGGGTCATTCCATTAATCTGGTGTTTGAAACTATTTTTTGGTAAGTTAACAATTGTCAGCATTGCAGAATGTCAAGGGGCATTTCTGTGCATAAATATACTCTTTAGGCTAGAGAGATTGTGATTAGCATCACTCAAAAAAAAACTTCTGTTCTTCAAGAACTTAGAGTAATTCTTTGCAATATCTTGGCATTATCATCAGTTTTGAAGGGACCTATAATTTTACTGCCTACAATGCTAGCTCAGAATGTTACTCTCTAACCCATTGCCTTCTAAGTCATGTTGATTATTTCTATAAAGGGCCCAACTTTTAACTGAACTATCAGGTCTGTCCAAGGTAGCTCTACATTCATCATGAAAAAAATTGCTGCATTTCTTCATCCACCTTACATGTTTCTCTCTGTGATGATGCTTAAATGTTTGGTTGTTTTCACATCTAGCCAATGTTCTTAAGATCTTTTGTCTCATTTACATTTGCAATATTGTTATATTCTGTGCTAATAGCAATATATACTTGAAAAACAAGGTGGATAGAATAAGTAAAGGTTTATTGTAAAAAAACAATACAATGAAAATAAAGGTAACAGTTATGCACAAGTTCATTGCAAGAAGATCCTAGCTAGCCTCTGTAGTTTGTTTACTTACAGATACTTAGTTACTACCTATAGTGTAGTCACTCATGGGGGTAACAGGTTATTCCATTACATCAAACATCAACTTCAAATGTTTTCTAACTAGTCAATCAACTTCTTTTACTTATATTACCCTTTTAATTTTTTTCAAATATCTTTTTGTGACATTCTTAAAGCCAGATTTTCTTTTCTTATTCTTATCTTGTCAATATTTTCAATGTCTTTTTGACTATCCTTTTATCTCTGTTTAACTTTTGGGGAAATTTGAAAGCTCTATGCCCTTCACTCAATAACTTCACAATTTTTTTGTTTCTCTTTTGAGATTATATCTTTCTTATGACCAATTGCAATTTTTAGATATTTGAAATTAAATAAATATCAATAACCATTTGATGAACAACTCCTAAGTTGCATAATGAAATCTCACATTACTGAATAAGTTATTGTAAATATTTTTAAATTTATTTAAACTTATTTTTATAAGCTGCAATTCGCATAATATATTTTTTATCTTACAAATATATCCTGAACATTTTACTAACATTGGTTGGTTAATATCAATTTTATTGTGAAAGTATTGACTTGTATAATAAAATCTCACATAGTGTGATTAGGCTAACATCCTTATTGCGCTTTCTTTTTTTCTCTTCTCTATTTGTGTCATGCCAAAACAGCCGCACAATTTCAATGGGATGACACTTCAAGAACAAATAGGAGATTAAAGCAGCCTAGGCATGTAGCATTACCAAAGTTTGACAGTTTCTTACCTTTTCAGTGTCAATCTCTTCCATATGTAGATTGACATATACCATGGCCATCTTGGCTTGCCTGTAGCTATGGCTTCTTGTCCTCTCAGCTTTTTATTGCAATTGTTTAATTCATTCCCCAGTCAAATATAATTTAAACTTTATGTCCAGTGGCTGGTCAGGCAACTCTTAGCCGTAGTGTTTATTGCTACAGCCAGAATTCTTCTGAATGGATTCTGAAACTGCTGTCCTAATTTAGGACTCACTGGGAACAGATGTGCATAGACCCTTTCTCCTATTTTCACTTTTAACAAAAGAAAAAAAAATTGGCAAATTCTTCACATATTGTTTTATGGGGGCGGGGAACAAAGTGAGAAAATCTGTATTGGCCTTTTTTTTTAACCAACCTGGCATTTAGTTTACTTACTTTTGGTTCTTGTCATTTCCTTTTAGTTTCCATATGTTTCTCTTAAAGAATGGCTGCTTGTCATTAGGTGTGTGTCAGGCCAGTGGCTGCTCTGTCTGTTTTGTCACTACATTTACTTATTGATCCATGCCAGAAGCCAACATAATTTTATCTTCCATCCTCCACCTTACCCAACACTTATCGTACAATAAAACATACAGTCCTCAAGAATAAGGATTCTTTTTCCTTATCAGTTAAGACAGAGACAGAATGTTTAAGGAAAAAGTGAATAGAAGTTATTAAATATTGTCTATTTTTTGAGATGAGGAATTGCCAAAATTCAGAATATTTCTTCTGATTGATTCATTCAACTTAATCATATTTATAAATCATGTCATTTGGATCCCTAATCTCTGCACTATTTGTTTTGTTTCATGTCAGTAGAGAAATGAGCTTTCTGAAATAGTTTCTTCAGTAACTGCAGTCCAACTAAAATTTTCATTCTTGAATCAAAACAAAAGTGGAGGCACCCCTGCCTACTCTTCTATTAATAGATTAGGTCTTTGAGTCAATAGGATATGTTATTCACTTGTAAGATGTCAATTGAAGAACAACTGTATGTACTGGAATTTTTAATTCTCTTTAAAAAAAAAGTCAGAGATTAACTGTCAAAAACTTGTGATTCATAAATATTACAAAGTTAAGTGATAAAGCCTGAAGAAACTTTCTCAATCCCCAACAAGAATTTAGTCTTTCATTTCCCACTCACTGTAGAGTTTCCATTAGTTGGCCAAAATCAGAAGCCAAACCTGCACTTTTTTTTTTAGCCTGCCTCATTATCTGCCTCAAACAATCAGAAAAGATGTCTGCTCAAGATAATCTGGGGAAAAAAGACCAAAAAAAAAAAAAAAGGGAAAAGTAAACCTGAAAACGTTGAAAGAAGCCAACCATCATATGAGATGGTCTTTGATATATTTTCAAATCATTCCATTCATATTTT